TTAGAGGAATGAAAGTGGAGAATTAGAGAAATGAGTGTGGATAAAACAAAATATTATGGATATTTATGACAATTAAATTAATTAATTTGGTTTGTGCTTCATCATCATCATTATCATTACAGCCCTTCACAAGTCCACTGCTGAACATAGGCCTCCCCCAAAGAATGCCACAAAACACGGTCCTGAGCCACCTGCATCCATCGACTTCCTGCATGTCTTACCCGGTCGTCACTCCATCTCGTGGGGGGACGCCCTACACTTCGCCTACCGGTACGAGGCTGCCACTCGAGAACCTTTCTTCCCCATCGGTTGTCGGTTCTTCGAGCTATATGGCCGGCCCACTGCCACTTCAGCTTACTAATCCGTTGGGCTATGTCGGTCACTCTGGTTCTACTGCGGATATCCTCATTCCTAAGTTTATTACGCAGAGAAACTCCGAGCATAGCCCTCTCCATAGCTCGCTGAGCGACCTTGAGCTTCCTCATACGGCCAGCAGTGAAGGACCACGTCTCAGTTCCGTAAGTCATCACTGGCAACACGCACTGGTTGTACAATTTCGTTTTAAGGTTTTGAGGTATGTCTGACGAGAAGATGTGTCGTAGCTTCCCAAACGCTGCCCAGCCGAGTTGAATCCGTCGATTTGCCGTGTAGTGGCGGTCAAGAATATCCACTACCCCATATCCTCCCGTGGGTGTCGTAAAAGGCGACAAAGGGAAACAGCCAGGAGATGGGCAGCAGCATCTTCCTGATAATAGCCAAATTACAATAAAAAAACTGCGGTTGCCAACCCGCTCGCCAAGCGTGGCAACTATGGCAAATACCCCCCAATGATGAGAGCAACAAAAACATGTTTAATGTCCATGTCACACCTATGCCGGTAGTTGTTGGGAACACTAAGCTCGAAGTTGTTGACGAGTATGTTTACCTGGGACAAATAGTCCGACTGGGTAAGTCCAACTTCGACCGAGAGGTCAATCGACGGTTTGTGCTTATTATACGTTAATTTAAAATTGCAAATCTCGCAATTACAATCGAACAACTGGCAAAAATGAACCATAATAAGAAAAAAATTGCAGGAAAATTTAATTTTGAATTTTTTTGTACTTAACATTTTTTTCGTAAATGTTTAGGAAAAGCTATATTATAACGTGGGTTAATAAAGTGTTGCCCTCTTTAGCTCTCCGAACTGCTTCCAGTCTCTTCTTCTTTCCAGATCTTATCAATAAAATCTTGAGAGATTACGTTCCATTTTTAATGCGATTTTAAGACTTACTGAGATCACTAAGATATGATTGGCGAATGATTCCTGCCGTGTCACAGTTTTAAAAGTAGGCGTATTACGCCATTATATTCTATTCTATCAATGTAATCAAATACACATATAAAGTTTAAAAATTTAATTATGTTGCCATCTATCAGCGATTAATGGAACTTATGTATTGTCACTAACGACATCTATTTGAAATGGTACAGAGTTTTCGAATCATAAATTACGCATTTACCACATTGCCATCTAGTGATTATTTGCGGTATTTTTATCATTATTAGCGCGATTACAGACTTTGATGTTTTACGATAGATGGCTATAAGACGTGGTAGTTTTATGTAGCAAATTTTTAAGTGACAATATTGGAATTACAGTGCGTGAATAATCCATAAATGTGGAGAATTAAGATTTATGTATATATTTCGCAAATCATTGAAATCATAAAGTTAAATAATTTTATTGTAATATCGCTATCTATCGGCTATTATAACGTCAGAAAAAGGAAATTGATCGTCAAATTTATACTTAGATATGCTTAAAAAGGGATTATAGAACCAAGTAAAAGCGACTTTTCTAGTCTAGCCAAATATGATTCGTGCATAAAAATTTGATGAATCAGGTACTTAATAAAAAATGGCGACTGGTAGTGGATTACCGTAAATTAAATAACTGTATAGAGGACGATAGTACCCTCTTCCTGATATTACAGAAATCTTACAACCTTTGTCTGTAAGTGTATATTTTACACATTTAGATTTATATCAAGGGTTCTACAATGTTGATTTAGATAAATGTTGTCGAAAATTTACTGCTTTCAATTTTGATCAATACCAGATGACGAGAATGCCAATGGGATTAAAAACAAGTCCTCGTTCATTCTCGCGAATGATGAGTTTGGAAATGTCAAGACTAAATAAAGAAAAATGTTTAATTTATTCTTTTTGGTAAACAACTGGACCTACAATAAAAACTTACAGGATGTTGTTGAAAGATTTCGTTCAGTAAATTTAAAATTAAATCCTTCAAAATGTACATTTAAAAAAAAAGCAGATATTATATTTGGTACATTGTATATCTAGCGAAGGGATTTAACCTGATCCTGAAAAAGTAAATACAGTAAGTTAATAGATTTGTGATGTTCACAAATTACTATAGAAAGCTTATACCCAAGTTTGCTGAAATTGAGCAACCACTAAAACAATTTTATAGAAAAAATACTAATTTCGTTTGGAATGAAAAATGACAAAGTCTTTTGAAACACTCAAAAAACGTATTATGTCCCCGCCAGTTTTAGATTACCCTGATTTTTCGGAAGAAAATTTACATCCAAACATTTTACATACCGATGCACCTAATAAAGCAATTGGAGCTGTTTTGTCGAATAAAAATGGAAGACCAGTAGCTTTTACTAGCAGATCTCTAAATAAGGCTGAATCAAACTATCCAGTTATAGAAAAAGATTTGTTAGCGATAGTATGGGCCGTCAAACATTTCAGACCGTACCTGTATAGGCAATATTTTAAAAACAGGACTGACCATAAACCTCTATAGTATTATTAGTATACTTATTTATGAAAGATCCGTGAAGCAGGCTTATGAAGTTTCGTTTGGTGTTAGAGGAATATAATTTTGACGTAGATTATGTAAAAGGTTCAGATAATTCAGCTGGAGATGCGTTACCAGGAATCAGTTTGAATTCGAAAGAGTTAAAAGAATTAAATGAGAATATAGTTAATGTCATGACACGAGCAAAAACGCGAAAAATAAATAAAAAAGAATCCTCCTCGTTGGACATAATTGACAATAACCCACAGACTTGAGGTCTGATTAACCGAAAGTCGTAAATAAAGATGATTTGAAAAAATTAAGAAAGTTAAGAGTTATTAGTAAACAAAATAATATTATATTAAATCTTTATATATAAAAATTACGTGTCACGTTGTTTGTCCGCGATGAACTCCTAAACTACTGAACTGATTTCAGTGAAATTTTGCACACTGTGTGCAGTTTGGTCCAACTTGAGAGATAGGATAGTTTTTGTCCCGTTAAGTGACCTTCAATTTTTTTATTGCTAATCTCAGGAGTTTTTTTAGGAAAGCAAATGGTTGTCGGAAAGGGCTGAACAACGTCTGTCTGGTCAGCTAATAATAATATATAATTATATTAAATATCTAAGTTCTGACTCACGGAATGACGTGACGCGAATTTGTGAGGGAATTAGATGATTTTTGTAAGTTAGTAAATGTTAAGGAAGTATGTATGATAAAGAAGGATGATAATAAATAATTTATTAAAAAATTGACGATATCAAACCTATGAATGCTAGTACCGGTCCTCGTGTACATACTCGTATAATAAATAATGTAAAAACGATATATAATAAGGTTGACAGAAAGGTGATATTAAATGACTTCCATCTCCTACCTAGCAGTGACCATGCAGGCGTGAGAAGAATGGTCAACAATATAAAAAAGTACTATTATTGGCCTGGGTTAGATAATGATGTAAAGAACTTTGTTAGGCGTTGTGACAAATGTCAGCATCAGAAATTTTCGTTACCCGTAAGAGTCATTAGAAATAACAAAGACAGCTAACAAAGCGTTTGAAATGATATATTTAGACCTAGTAGGTTCACTTGAAGTTGATAATAATAATTACTCTTATGCTACCGTTCTAAATCACTAAGTATGTCGAAGCATATCCCTTAATTTCTAAAAAAAAAGACGAAGTAGCAAAGAGTCTTGTTACTAACTTTATTCTGAGGTATAGAGTACCGAAAGTAATAACTACTGACAGAGGGAAAGAGTTCATCGCATCAGTATTCCAAGAGGTATGTAAATTGCTTCAAATAAAACAATTAAATTCGCAATCAGCGTTACACCATAACTTGACGCAACACATCGTTATCGCAACCGCATCCCACCAAGGATAACATAAAAAAAGTATCGCATCTCATCCCAATCAGCTGACTTATACCGCCATATACGTCGAACACCTCGGGACTGGTAATTAGGTGGAAAATATGACGATACAGATTTCATCAGACAGTGGTCAGATGTACCCATACGGGAGGTAACCTGTACTTCACACTTGTCTGGTTCGGTAGTCAGCAGAAGGTCCAAGCAATTTGCTGAAGGTGTACTTCGGTGGATGCTACTGGAACTTCTCGACCAGTAGTACTAGGTGTGCTGAGTTTGGCCTCATTTTGTTAGTTATGATGAGACCTTGTCTACGGATTTGATAAAGTGACCTGAATGTGTACTTCGGTGAATGCTACTGGAACTGCTCGAAGAGTAGAACCAGGTGTGCCAAGCTTGGTCTTGTTTTGTTAGTTATGATGAGACCTTTCTTCTGGGCTTGATAGAGTGAGCTGAAGGTGTTCTTCGGTGAATGCTACTGGAACTCCTCAAAGAGTAGAACTAGGGGTGCTAAGTTTGGCGTCGTTTTGTTGGTTATGATGAGACCTAAACTTCGGACTTGACGGAGTGACTTGAAGGTGTACTTTGGTGACTGCTACTGGAACTCTTTGACAAATAGAATTACAATTTACAATTTTTTTAATTTTTTCGCGATCTCATGAGTCGATGGCTTGTTCTTATTATTGTAACAAAAAAACAATTTAAAATATTGTAATTGTTATCAAGAAAAGTAATATATCCAGTATCCAGATAATCACTATATCAAAATTTACGTAGGTACCAATACCAAATTCGTGTTCCTTTAGTTTAAAAATATGGAATCTCCAAGACAGTTAGAAACCGATACCGTAGAGTATTGGAGAATACAAGCTAAACATTATGAGCAAAAAGCTAACGACATTCAACAAGAACTAGATGAGTACACAGAAAATTCAGCACAACTTGAGAAAGAATTAGAAGCATCATTAGTACAAGTTGAAAAACAGAATAGAGATTTGGAATTTCAAAATCAACGTTTAAAAAATGAAATTGATATACTCAGGAAAAAATTAGAACGAAGTCAACATGAAACAAATGCCTTAGAAAGTGAATTACAAGCATTAAAAATAGAAAAGGAGAAACAAGCAATTTACATAAGAGAAATCGAACAGAAAAATGATGATCTTGAAAGAGGACAAAGGGTTATATCGGAGTCAGTCTCATGTATAGAAACATTACTAAACCAAGCATATGAAAGAAATGCTGTTTTAGAAAGTGAAGTAGATGAAATTGAAAACTTGAGAGTTAAACTTCAAAGAGCAACCGATGAGGCCAGAGATCTCAAACAGGAATTAAAAGTTATAGAAAAAATACCAGAATATAAGAAGGAAGATGGCAGTGTAAATGAAAATGTGTGCAATGGTGTGTCCATCACAAATACATCTCGAACACAAGTTGAAATAGAAACACAAACTTCAATATCTTCACCACAGAAACGTGAAATTAACGGCAATGCAATGACACCTTCTTCCCGAGTTACGGCAATAAATATAGTTGGAGATCTGCTGAGGAAAGTGGGGCGAGCGACAAAGTCGAAACGACAGACTCGGCTCCTCGCCGTATGGTAGCGGCGTAAAATCTACCACCCCCTTAGTTCGCACCATGAGCCTAGTAGAAAAAGAAATGGCCCCGAGTTCCCGGCGCCCCTTTAATGGGGCAGGGGTGCGAAGAATCTCCGGGAGAAAAACCGGCGACGAGGTTCGCCACCCGTCACGTCCTGTCTCCCGGAGGGGCGAAAAGTGGATTGCGGAGGCCCGTCTGGCTACGCTGAATGTATGTGGAGCAATGAATGATAAGATGGATGAAGTATGCGAAATGATGAACGATAGAGGAATAGATGTGTTATGTGTAAACGAGACGAAACGAAAGGGAAGAGATGTCACTGCACATGGCATGTATACCGCTTACTGGTCTGGAGTAGACGAGACCGAGCGGGCATGCCAGGGAGTCGGTGTCATCCTTTCAGAAAGAATGGGGAATGAACGATAGAGGAATAGATGTGTTATGTGTAAACGAGACGAAACGAAAGGGAAGAGATGTCACTGCACATGGCATGTATACCGCTTACTGGTCTGGAGTAGACGAGACCGAGCGGGCATGCCAGGGAGTCGGTGTCATCCTTTCAGAAAGAAAAGTGTGAAAGAGTATGAATGTGTTAGCCCAAGGCTGCTGTGGATACGAATGAAAGTGGGCTTAAAGAAGTTGTTTGTGCTAGGGGTGTACGCCCCAGATATGTCTAAGCCCACTTATATCCGAGAGCAGTTTTGGGACATGGTAAGGCTGGTGTTGATGAAATGTAAGGAAAATGAAAATATTATTATGTTTGGAGATTTTAATGGAAGGGTGGGGGTGAAGAGGTCTGGTTATGAAAGGATATTAGGAACGTTTGGCGATGAAAGAATAAATGAGAATGGTGAAGACCTCCTCACCGTATGTGTGGAAAAGAATCTTTTTGTGGCGAACACTTTCTTTCGCCATAAGAGGATTCACATGTATACATGAGAAAGAGGGGATGATAGAAGCATGATAGATTTTATAATTGTGGATGAAAGAATGAGGAGCGCTGTGGTAGATACAAGGGTTTACCGGGGGTCCAACGTAGGGACGGATCATTACTTGGTCTTATGCCGAATTAATGGTCTATTCAGACGTTGGCGGCATCGGACATCGGTGTCTACCACTGCGTTACAGCGTATAAGAATAGAGAGGTTACAAGATGAAGGTGTGAAAGAGAAGTATAAATGCAGACTGAGGGAAAATATAAGTGGGTTGAATGAATTATGTATGAATGATTTAGAATTGAAGAATGTATGGAATAATATTAAGAGAGTTCTGGTGGATGCAGCCACCGAAGTATGCGGTGTAAGTAAGAGAACGAATGAAAGGAAAAGTAATACGTTGTGGTGGGATGATGAGGTACGGATGGAAGTTGAAGCAAAGAAGAGAGCATGGTTAGATTTACTAGCAACTAAAGCTGGTAATTCTGGCGGTATGAATGATGAGATTGAAAGAAAAAAGGCAAACTTTAGACGTATAAATAAGAGAGTAAAAGAAGTTGTTGAAAGGAAAAAGCAAGAAAGGATAGATAAAAATGATAGAAGGATATCTGATAACTTCCAGGAAAATATTAAAATGTTCTGGAAGCTCGTAAGAACTGCCAGGGGAATTTCAAAACAGCCTTGAATGAATGCTATACGAGACGAGAATGGCTGCATGCTGAATGATGAAGTTTCGAATTTAAAGAGATGGAAGGAATACTTTGAAAGCGTGTTTAAGAGTGAAGAGTCGTCTGAAATAAGTGAAATAGAAATTCCGGAAGAAGTGGAGAGAGGTAGGGAGATAAGTGTAGATGAAATAATGAAAGCAATGAAAAGCATGAAAGCAGGTAAGGCAGCCGGATATGATAGAGTATCACTCGAAATGCTAAGGGCTGGTGAGGGTGTGGTTGCAGGCCTGCTGCACACCTTGTTTAATTTATGTTGGGAACTGAAACGGGTACCGGAAGACTGGTGCAAAGCCGTTATAGTCCCAATATATAAGGGAAAGGGGTCGCAGCAGGACTGTAAAAACTACCGTGGTATCAGCTTGCTTAGCATTGTGGGTAAACTGTATGGTAAGGTGTTAATTGAAAGAGTTATGGAAGAAACTGATGGAAAAATTTGGGATGTGCAAGCTGGATTTAGAAAGGGGATGGGGTGTACGGATCAAGTCTTTTCCATGCGCATGATAGCGGAGAAATTTTTGGCTAAAAACCAGAAAGTTTTTTGTGCGTTCTTGGACTTGGAAAAGGCTTATGACAGAGTGGACAGGAACGTGTTATGGCAAACACTGAACTCATTTGGGTTGAGCGCTGGCTTGATACAGGCATTAAGGTCTCTTTATAGGGACTCTAGTGCTTGTGTCAGGATCAACGGGGTCTACTCGGACTGGTTTGGCATTCATAAAGGTGTCAGACAGGGATGTGTGGCTTCCCCGTGGCTGTTTAACCTATTTATGGACAGTTGTTTGCAAACTTTGAAAGTTGAAGAATGTGGGTTGAGAATGGGTGAGTCAACCGTCAAATGCCTTTTGTACGCCGATGATCAAGTCATATTTGCATCGTCAGCGGCCGAGTTGCAAATGATGGTTACTTTAATGAATTGTTCATTGAAAGAAAGGGGTATGAAAGTGAACGCAAGTAAGACGAAAGTGATGGTTTTTGAAAGAGAAGAAAGTAAAACTTTATGCAAAATAAGAATAGAAGGGGAGTTGATTGAGCAAGTGGATGAGTTTGTATATTTGGGATGTTTATTTAGCAGGGATGGTAGATATGATAAGGATATAGAACGACGAGTGAACGCAGGAAATAGAGTGAATGGGGCTCTACACGCTATTGTGAGGAGTCAGAATGTGTCAACTAAGGCACGTATGGCAATTCATAATGCTGTGTTAGTACCCACTTTAATGTATGGTAGTGAAAGTTGGGTCTGGCAGAAGAAGCATGAGAGTAGAATAAATGCTGTAGAAATGCGTTCCTTAAGGAGTATGCTAGGGCTGAATCTGAATGACAGGGTGAGAAATAGTGTAATAAGAGAAAAGTGTGGTTTGCAAGATGACGTTGTGACAAGGATTAAGAAAGGAATGCTTCGGTGGTTTGGCCACGTAGAAAGAATGAACGAGGAAAGAGTGACAAAGCAAATTTATGTTGCAGAAGTGAACGGCAGGGTCGGGAAGGGACGCCCTAGACGAAGGTTTATCGACCAGATCGGCGATACATTGAAAATGGGCCAGATTAGGAGTACCCTTAACCGAATAGCGTGTATGCGTAGATATATGGATGTGAAAGAGGCGAGAGAGGTGTGTCAGGATCGCGCCAAATGGAAGTCCGTAGTCTCTGCCTACCCCTCTGGGTGACAGGCGTGAGTGTTTATGTATGTATGTTATGTATGAGTCGTGCAATTTTGGATTTTCCAAGCATTTTTTTAAAATTGAAATTTGACATAAAATTATGGGAAAATTGGAAGTATAGTAATAACTTGTGTTTAATTAAACTTCTTTAAAAATTTACACAATCGTGTTATACGTATTTTTTTAATGCGGTTAAGGCATGCACAATTGTCTTTACCAATATTTTTAATATATTATGACAAATTCTATGGATGCTTCTTCAATCAATCAATGCTGTGTTTTTCCTTACATATGAATAACTGTTTAATTCTAATACAAAACAGTTTTATTATTGTTCTCATGTAAGTGACATCGGCTGACTATTGATCTTGGTCTCAGAGAGTTATTTATAAACAATTTCGGGCGGGTAAGGGTTTGTAGTCAAGTATATCTTTTTTAATAATAATCTGTGTTTAATATTAAAACAACATTCCTGAGGTAATTTTGTTGCATTGACAAGAAAAAAAAAACAGATGACACAACATGCTGTTCGATTCTTACTTTATCATTTATTAAAATATAAGGTGCGTGAGGGTAATATGGTCACCTTTTTTTTTTTTTTTTTTTTTTTTTTTATAGAAGGAGGGTGACAAATGAGCACGCAGTCCACCTGATGGTAAGTGGTTGCTGCGGCCCATAGACATCTACATCTATCCTCTATTACAAATCAAAATGTAGATGCGTTGTCACCCGTGAGGACTAAGATGGAATGCCTCATTTCCAGTAAAAAGGGCCTCCGGCCACCTGCACTTACCAAGCGAAACGCAGAGGTAAATCTCTACTTCACGCTGGTTTTCTGTGAGGTCGTGGTACTACCCCGGTTCGAGCCGGCCCATCCGTGCGACAGCAAAAGCTGCCGCGAGGCTCTACCACTGTTAAATTTTATCACCATAAAAAACTAAAATTAAGAGGAGGGCGACACAAAAACACAAAGTCGTATACTATAACTAATATATGTAAGAAAAAAACGATACACGTAAAACTACTGGACAGATTTCCACTAAATTTTGTATGTAGAACCGTGTATAACATATGGGCAACTTTTTATTCCGTGCCGTGTAGTGGCGGTTAAGAGCGTAGACGGGCTGCATTCTTTCCATACAAATGTATTCCCCTATTCTCTTTCTGGATAATGCCACTAGAGTAATCGATTTTGTTTATAAATATCTAGGTCTATTGAAGGCATGCCCCTGTCATTTACTATTAAATTATGCCTTTCCAAAAACCTAAAGAAATGCCCCGTTTTTACCTCCATAATCAGACGACTACCAAACAAATTTGAAAAGTTTTTAAGATAAAAACAAGTGATAGGAGCATAGATCTATTCGTTCTTTAAATTTTGATACCAAAAATAATTTGATCGGCTTAGTTTTCGAAGAGAAAACAGGAGAATACGAAATGTCGATCGGTCATGGTTTTTGTACTTAAAATCGTTCTGAGCTGCAGTTGTCCCTATCGCACTCTACGGGGGGAGACCAGAGGTGAGGGATGGTTAGACTAATAAGTACTTATTAGTCTAAACAATTAGGAAAGTGACAACTGTCGAAGTTTTTATCGCTATCATAGTGATGTCAGTCGATATCGACGTTTATCCTATACTGATTTACAGGCGGCACAGAACAGTGAAATTATTAAGACAACG